CATCGCGATGCAATCGCAGAGTCTGACCGACATCTAAGCCTTGGTAGAGCAGAAGAAAACAGCGCCGCGCCATCGCGTGCGCCCCCCCCCTCCCGATTCCGAGTTTCACCAAGGGGTGCGGTTCGCTAGTACAGAAAGCGCCTTTTCCGCTTTCCGCGCGCGAATTTTTTTCGTCACGGGAACCCCAAGTCCAGCCGTGATCAAGAGTGAACCTGAGGTTCCCACAACGAAAAATGTTTCGTTCTGACATGGCATATTGCTTGCCTTCTGCCTTTACGCTCATGGGTGTGGGTTGCTTGAGCGGAAAGCAATTTCGCTTTCCCACTGCGGGACCCTAGGTCCATCCCTGATGATTAGTAGTCCTGCGGTCCCCACAGCGAAAAACTTCAGCGCTGTGAAAAGCGAAAAAGTCAGTTTCTGTTCCTTGCGACCTACACTGCGCGCCCATTGACGCCTCGAAAGTTAGCCGATGGTACACCTTGATGAGAAACTTTCCTTAAATTTTCTAATTTCAAAAACAGTCTACAGCTGTATCGATTGCTGTCTCAGCTCAATTAGTGAAATGCAGAGTCACATCACCTAAATGATTGCAGGAGTTGCATCCAGACAAACATGCAGACGATGAGCTAGCTCACGAGAAGTTTCAGGATCTTGGAGCTGCTTACGAGGTGTGTTGTATCGTTGGTGTTTTTTCACTTTTTGTGCGCATCCCGAGTTCTTCACAAAAGTGGACAAGTAGGGGCGCATTCATAGTTGGTCGTCCGATCGAAGCGATCGCTCAGCTTTGGATGCGTTTCGACCGTCAACCTTGTAGGAGGATTGAGCGCGTATTTAACGCTGTGCGATTGCTACGATCGGACGATCGACTATGCATGCGCCCTATGATCTCGACAAAGATTTAGTCAGCAATCAAATTTGGATTCAATATATTATCGTGTAACACCACAATAGGAATTTCGAACTTGTTTTATGTGTTCAATTTTTTTCCCGTGCGCGACTGCGCGCATATTTCAAAAACTGCCCGTTCGGACCAGCACAATTCATGAAGACTGGGAAATGTAAGCCACCGGTGTGTAATATTGTCCCCTGCCATTTTTGGAAATGAGACAATTTCCTCTGAAACTTGTCTCATGGATGTTATTGACTGACATGATCATGAATATGGTATTTATTTTTGGCGTAGACGCCCAATTAGCGCCCAATCTGAACAACCCTGTATGCAATTTTTAACGAATTTGGTAAGAACAGGTGTTGCGTCGCGTCCATGTAATTTGGCGCCCACGCCAAAAATAAGGTTCACATTCGTGTCGTGATTAGGACAATCAATGAACCCATTGCAAAAACTTTCGGGCCGGTTTTCGAAGTATTTGAAATTGCTTCTTCAATAAAACGAGATACCCACTGCCCATGGTTGGCGCTAATTTGTGTAGATCTGATGAGTTCTCATAAAAAACCATTCAGAAACCTGACATTGCTGACTTAGTTTTCATTCGAAGCCCGTCAGTCACTGGTGGCTGACATTGTCCGAAACGACCTTTGTGTCGGCCACTAGTGGTTGGTGTTGTCGCGAATCAGCTTTTTCCATGAACCCATCTGAGAATGCTGCTCGATGAATTTTCTGCCGAGAGTAGATGCTCGCGAAATGTCTAATTTTGGGCATTGTTATCAGATTCGTTTCCGTTTCTACGAACGGTTGTGATGTTTTGTTAAGCCTGTCTTCACCTCTTTCTTTTTCAAGCCTATTGTTGTCGTCAAGCAACGTATTTTATGCGGTACTGATAGGGGTCAGGTCATGCTGTGCAGTTCGGCGTGCAGTCCGTGTGTAGGTACACATACATATCTACTTCACACTCGAATTGCCCACCGAACTGTAAAAAATGGCTCGATCTTTGGAGAGGACTTCCAAAGTTTTTTCTCAACATAACATACTGTGTTTCAAATTTCACAAGTAGCTGAGTTCCTTTTTTTGATATAATTCACTAGAGCGTGTCGATCGCGTTCGTGAGAACCAATAAAATGGAGCGCTTGAACCCATTCGACTGATGCCTATAACTTTATTTTGCTTTCATTTTGTAAGCCACCATTTCACAAGTAACAAGCTTCTTACTACCGCCGCTGTTCACTGGCTTTCAAGAAATGAGTGTTACCGGGTAGGGGCTGATTGTTTTGGTTCTACTTCTTAAATTTAGGTACTGTCGGACAAAGAGAAACGAGCTGCTTACGACAGACATGGCGAAGAAGGAGTGAAAAAGATGATGGGCGGTGGAGGTGGGCACGATCCCTTCTCTTCATTTTTTGGCGACTTCTTCGGAGGTGGTCACGAAAACGGAGACGAAGAAAAGCCAAGGGTACGTTTTTTGTGAAATTAAAAATTACCTCAACTACACACTGATGTGTTTTGAAATGATTTCTGTAGTGCGCACTGCATCATTAGAGCTTGGTTGTTTCTATGAGCAATACAATTCAGGGAGCGGACGTAGTTTTTGACTTGTTCGTCTCTTTGGAAGAAGTTTACGTTGGTCACTTTGTGGAAGTCAAACGCAAGAAGGCCGTTTATAAGCAAACATCAGGAACAAGGAAGTGTAATTGCAGACACGAAATGCGAACCGAACAAATCGGTATGGGACGATTTCAAATGTACCAAGTCAGTGACTTATCCATTGAGTTTCACTTTTGAATTTGTATATGATGCAAGTGCTAATTACATCCGAATAGGGCTGATGGTAGTATTTCAATTTGTGCGACAAATAGCAGTTTGCCAACAGCAATTTATGGGTTTGGCGTAATTCTCATGATCGCTAGAATTGCAAGAATCGATTAAACCGTTGCAATCGCTCGGACGACAAGCGATGCTCCATCGGACATAAGCTGGCTCTTCGGAGCCCTGTCTCCAAGCCTAACCCTGTTCTTGCCCTAGCCCCAACCTAACCCTACCTTGGCCCTGAGTTAGACTTACCCTTGTTAATTCAAATTCCTATTCTAGGAAAAAGCTCCTATGAGGGCGAATCTTTTGAATTGTCGTATAAGAGGGTGACCAAAGTGCTAAAACCATGCGGGATAAGCGTTAATATCGTAGAGAGAATCGATAAATTTCTGTACAAGTTAATGCTTCTTGCCTTAATCTTTGTGAGTTATTTTTGTTGCAAATGAAGTCAGTTTGGAATTCCGTGCACTGACGAGGGGTTTGGGATTGTGTAGATTCATCATTGTTATTTCCCGCGAAGGCAGTGAAAATTAATTATTACCACCTCACGACCATTACCTTTTTGAGGAAGCTTGTTCAACATATTTCCTTGAACCTATTTTCTTTTAGTTTACTGACATTGTTTATTCAGGTTCAAGTATGTGACGAGTGTCCGAATGTTGTCCTTGCCCAGGAAACAAGAACATTGGAGGTGCTCCCTAGTTTGACATTTCTAAAGTTACAGAGGAGAAATTTAATTCAGATTTATTCAGATTGAAGTGGAGGTTGGAGCACATGACGGCCACGAACAAGTTTTTATAGGCGAAGGTGAACCTCATATCGAAGGAGAACCTGGCGATTTAAAGATCAGAATCAATGTTGAGAAACACCCCAGGTATTTTGTGGCATGATATTTTTACACGCTGATCGTTTCATGCTTCATCATTGTTTAGGTTTGAGCGGAAGGGTGATGACTTATACACAAATGTAACGATTTCACTTCAAGATGCGTTGAATGGTTTCAAAATGGAGATAGAACATCTTGATGGGCATAAGGTCACCGTGGAACGGGAGAAGGTGAGCGGTGATTGTGGGATGCTGTTTGGTAAAATTTATTCCACGAACATCGTTGCAGTGAAGTTATTCCTGTGCAGTAATCAGGATGTCCTTGGCAATGTCCTTTTTCTTTCACTTTGGCTGCGATGCGATCTGCCGCTTGGGACTGTGCCTTGACAATTTTCAAAAACGGGCTACATTTACGCCGAAAGTGGCGGACCTTAATGCAGAAACTTCTAAGACTTTGTGTGTCTTCGCCGACTGCTTTCGAAGCAAGTGAATCTTGCTTCGAAAGCATCGTCCGGCCCAGGGCGGATCTATCAAATACCCAAATTGAATAAAACACTCGCTGAGAAGACATGCACGGATCATGTTTATCGTAAGCACCGCAATGCCTTCCTGATTACTATTACGTTATCGTTATGAAGTCGAAACCTACGCAGAATAGTTTCTTCACTGCATACACATATGTATGATGCGGCATTGTACCACGAGGCATGTCGAGCTGCACTGTGACCCATGGGTCTATGTCTAAGTTTTGTCTTCTATTTTCGACGCGTTGAGAACAATCGCTGTCGAGCGTGTGCGTTAGGAAATACACTCCATCCACGAGAAAAGCGCCTATTGTTTCCGCTTCATTGTTCGCAAGCTGCGTTCGTTTTTCGATTCTTAGGAAGGCTAGCATGGTCAGATTGCAGCTTTGTGTCGGTACTCTTGGGAAATACTGTTTACTATATTCATCACAGTGCACAGTGTGCTTTGAATTGAGCTATTTGATTCACAGCAGATCAGTTCCTTTCCATGACAAACTAATTCATGGCTAAGAGTTTTTGAGGCCGTGACTGGTAATATTTCTGCTTTTTGAACAGAGTTGAGAATTCAATTTTTTACTGGTTTCGTTGCTCAACCCGCGACGATTTCATGTTTGATTCAGGTAACCTGGCCAGGTGCACGATTGCGGAAGAAAGACGAAGGAATGCCCAATCTGACCAATAACAATCAACGTGGCGTGCTTTATGTCACATTTGATGTTGAATTTCCTCGTACTGAGTTGACCGAAGAGCAGAAGAAGCTCGTCTCTGATCTGTTGAAGCAGTCAGATGTGAAACCCAAGGCCTATAACGGTCTTCAAGGTTATTAGAGCCTTGTAGTTCACAAATGTAGTCCATGCTCTCCGTTCCTCAAGTAGGATGAAGCCATATTCCTGTTCTTTATTATGTTAATATTTGTTGACAGGAGAGATATTAGGTACACTTTGTGAATGTTAATAAGGTGTGTTTCATCTATTGGATTCTTTGTTATTTAATATCGCGGGTTTTTTCTCCTCTAGTGGCAATCGCTCTACAGTAACCTTTATTCGTGGCCCCTTACATCATGTTCATCTGTGATTGAATAGTCTTCTTCATTGTTCAGCAAAAAATTGAGTTTGTGTACAATTTATTTCAGTTATTGAGGTAAGCGTTGTTTTACTGCGGTAACGAACTTGCGAACGAAGCAGGTGTCGATACTGCTTGGAAAACAAATCCAAGGAATAAGTAATAACTAAATATTTCATTAGTAGCTCTGGTTTACTCATTTATCTATATAATGGACTTCTCAAGAACAGTCACAAGCCTTAGTTTGGCATTGAAAATTAGAAATGGGTTCATATACGGAATGTACGTTTGAAACTGTTGTTTCGAATTCATTGGTGTTTGTTGACTTGCCGTTGTTGATGTCTTGATGTCTCAAGGATGAAATTTTTTTAATAAATATATTTCTTGTAAGATCAGTTCACTTTAATAAAGGTAACTATTCCTAACGTCTCTAATTGATATGGTGACTTTGTTTTAAGATTTAGGAAGAGACCGCTGTGGGATATTTCATACATTCGTCATTTTTTTTGCATGTTTGCAACTAATGCACGTTAACCAGCGTCAGAAGCACTTGGGACCTCCTCGAAATGAGCATATTGCAGCGTTTAGATTTTGTGGCTTTGCCATTCTACGACTTCGCACTTTCATAGTCGTTGCCACATGCCTGCTGTCCTATTAAATTCTGTTAAACTTCTTGTTCCCTCATATGCTACATACCCCCGCCTTCAAATGACCAGAAATTGTGCAATTGCAGAAATTGACGTGGCATTGGCACACGTGGCTAAATTCTCGATGAAAAGGTGACGTCACGTGTGCTCAAAGATGTTCTTGAATCGATGCCACGTTAATGCCACGTCAATTTCTGCAATTGCACAATTTCTGGTCATTTGAAGGCGAGGGTACCTGCGTCTAATCGGAATGCATTAGCAGCAATATACCTCGATATCGTGTATGTCTGGGTAGGGGCGTGTTTCACCTGGAAGTTTATCCGTGCACCTTGATAGAACTATATGTGGATAATCTGCTTCCAAACATATATTCGTCTGCGCTATCAGCTATACCATCGCTGGCAACGGCTTTATCTAACGCACTCCTATCAAATCGGACTCTTTTCTTTTTTTCACGGTAATTGCCTAAAGTATATGTTTATTTTCTTCTGGAAATTAGTTCGGCTTGTGGGTCTGTTTTTCCAACTGTATATGATTGGATAGGCAGGATAAATTCATTCATCTCCTGTGTTGAGGTATTTCTTGGTATATACTGTATGTCTAATTCTCTGCCCGTCTCTTGTTTAAAGATATCTTGTGCAAATTATCGGGGAGAGTTCCTTTTCTAAGCAATCACCATTTCCGTTACCACACAACCCACGCACCACAACTTTCGGATATCGACCCATATGACTCGAGTACATTGACGAGCACTTGCTCTACCAAATAATCGTCTTGGGTGGTGGAGGAGTAGTCCGAAAGAATAAGACCGCCGTCGCGGTCTGAGACCTTTTCTGTCAATGTTTGGCGTGACCCTTTTAGCCAGTGCGATCGATCTACCTCATCAAAAAATTTACTTTCAAACTAAAACTAGGTGCTTTTTCATGGAATTTCAGAAAGAGCATTTCCCATGCCTTGTTCTGGTCACGTAGTGAAGTTTCATATAAAACCCCGTGCAAAATGCCTGAAAAGGAGATGGTTATAGACTCTAAAATTCTTCCGTCTTGATTACTTTCACCTACGCTGTTTTCTTCGCTTGATTCCAATATCAAATTCACAGCGGTAACGTCGATGAATATATGTGCAGTAATGTGATTCGGTGGCAGCGGTAGTGCGCAATATGTATATCTAAACCAAAGTTTACGAATCGGCGCTAAACTTCCAACAATCAGGTTCCTCGCAACTTTGCGCTAACGCACTGATAAAATGGTTTCTCACAAGTTTGTCTGAAGTGCTAACAAAGTGTCTTTCCGAAGGCGGTCCCGCTTCAACAATCTGTGAAACCGCGGCTGCAAGAAACCTCAATTGTTTCAGTTGGCCGTGGGAAATTTTGAATCATCCGGAGTTTCCCTAAAAATCGTGTGAAACTTGTTCTTCTACATCATGCTTGTTTTTACGGGTTTCAGTGAATTGCGAAGTTTGCGATTGCTGCGATGTCCTCATCGTGCATTCATATGCCTAGCACACCTGGTGAAAAGAAGAGATTGCGAAGTTGGTACGCGGTAATCGCAGACAAATGTGCCTTTCCCAGAACCGACAGCTATGCTGTCACAGCGGTACGTTATAGTCTTCACAATATTTTTCTTCAATTCGCCCCCAGATTGTGATAGGAAAGAGCGTTAAGGCGTTAGGATTCGCTGAAGGCATTTGGCGCTACACTAAAATTTTTACTTCTAGATGGTATTTATTTGATGATAAGTCCGACTTCTATTCCTCTCCCAAACATGTTAGCGCGAGGAGGTGGGGAAGATCTTTTCAGTCTCACCCTCCATGTTTAACTAAGGGCGGTTTCTACGGAAAAAAAATATTAGGACATGCTGCAAGGCAGGGAATTCATCACCACTGTGTGAAGCTTTTTGAGTTCTCTTTTAGTACCTTTGAGCGCTGACCACATCTTCATAGATAAAAAAGCTTTTAGAGGTCAGAAGATTGTATTCCCTTTTCTCCTAACATTTGTTCCGCATAGTCGTAGGGTCTACACTTCTTGTTAGACGTCGCCACTTGGTCCTATCTACGGCATATTCTGCTGTTGCATCCTCAGCATATGGCCACACAATCTCAGTCGCTGCTCTCCCACCTCTAGGTAGACCTCTAGGTGAGTCTACTTCATGATGTCCGACATTCTCGTTTCCGGCCCTGTGTAGTCGCGTTCAGTTGTAGGCCCTTCTCAGCACCCTCATTTTAGCCGAACGCAGAGGATTCCAGTGTCCTTCCTCTATTTCATCCGTGCCGCTCTGATCCATGTCTTTACTGCCCGTTCCAACTTACCGTCAGTGGCTTTATCGTTGCCCATGTATCGGTAGCGAGACTCTTTCGCTTTCTCCATCTCCGTCCACGATCGGTTCTGTGCTACCACTAGATCTCAGAAACATACTCTTCTTCACGTTCAGTTGGAGCCCACCTCATGTCAGCGCTTTTGCCGTTTCTGCACAGCGCCATAGAGTCCTTTTCTTGTTCAGGGCGACGATTTCAGCGTAGAGGACGCTTTTTATGGTTAGTGGTTCCCATTAAAGGCAAAGGTCGGGCTCAGGCACGCTAGAGAAGTAATTCCCGTGCCTGGAGGTTGTATGTGGGTAGCTGCACACATTGCAGCAACTTCCCACCTTGAAAAACCCCGTTAAGGCCCCGGGGCGTTCGGTTTCAATCCAGGGCCGCCTGGTCAATCCAGGACCGCCCACCTCCGGAAGTGGTGCGTGGCTGGCATAACGTGTGAAATCAGCTAGGTTGATTGCCGTATCAACCGATAGAACGACTGACATCTCCAGAAAACTTGTTTGTACGTGCCTCTTTCCCAAGCCAGCCTCCTTCACTGCTAGTGGGAAAGAGGGTTTTGTTAACGGCCTTGTCGACGGTTTTTCTCAGTTTTTTCTCCACTGTCGTTCCACTTCGCATCTCTATACTCATAACGCCCTAGATGTTAGCAGGAAGCCGGTACTGGCTAGCCGTCGTCGACTTCTTATCTTCTTACAGAAGGATCAGATGCTTCTGGAAACGTTTTTCCTGAACGCCTATACTGTTCGCGGGAACGACCTAACGCTGCTCTCCAAGTCGATGAAGCTAAATAGATACCAACGCGTGGCTACTTCATTCGGATCGAACCGTTTGCGAAGGTGGGCACACATTTTCCATTAGTTGGAGCAGGTCGATAACCGCACCACTGAATTTCATGAGACAGCGCAGTCAACTTGACTTCACAGTGTTGGCAGCACATCCACCCGCACTCAACTGTTCAAAGACGGGATAAATATTTGTTCTCCATGCATCCACCGTCATTCCTTTCGCAGTTACCTTGTTGGTGTTGGATTGGTGAGAAAAATTACTCCGTGACCTCCGAGAGCCTTTCATACTCTAATCGTTCACGATCTGGACTTACTACCCGACTTCATCTTGCATTCCCGCCTAGGTCCCAAAGTGCGGCAGGGACCGTACTTTTAAGCCTACAAGGTGCTCGTCTCTACGTTCTCTGCTTTGGCGGAGGCAGCCTTGGAAGTCGTAGGTAGTTTTTGTTGACAGCGAGGTGTTTTGGACTCCATGTTGTTTGGGCGTGACTGCGCTTGCATGTAAAGTCACACGAATTGCCGCTTCGGGGACCACGGGTGTTGAGTCTCACACTGATTCCACTTGGAAAGTCCATCGGCTACCTCCTTGGTCCATCAGCAGAATCACACGAATGGTTTCCAGCCGTTTCTCCAGGTCCGGCAAGGAGATGGTCTGTCAAAGACCTGCAGTTTGTGAAGATGAACTTCCATTAGCTTTATTTTTGGAGATCGCTTCTGTTGTTCCGCTGTGTTAGTGATTTCTCTGCCACTGGATTCTCCGCTTCGTGCTTACTTTTGCCTCTTTAAGGAGAGGATGGGGAGCCAGTTATCCTGGCGAAGAGGGAGTATCTTGATGTCCTTTACCGTTGTAAGAAATGACCTTCACACGATCACATTCATTCTTGCGTGTTGTCGGTGTCGTGTCACTATTCTTTAGTTCACCTTTGAGTCCCCCTGTTTCGCAAAGAACGTGCTGCATACCCTAGGTCCGTAGTCAAGTGCTAGGGCGCATTCACGTATTACACCTAAGCCCCATCCTCAAACGTCGCAAGTTTTTCAACTACCTCTCTTGAGCCGTTGTAGGATACCTGCGATGGGTTTGGATAGAATCCATCGCTGCTCGTTCTTCGGGGCAGTCGAATAAAGGATAAAAGGATAAAGCATTTGCCGTTGATCAATCCCTTTTTGGGATGCGGCACGCATTCTACTTCCATTTGTACATTCGCAGTGGCATTTGAATGCGATGTGGCCTATACAATGACTTGCGGGGCCAGCCGATGTACAAGTCAGTGTTTTTATCCTCCCAGACAAGTCTGGTACCAATTAACCGACCCCGGAGGGATGGAAGGCTTGGTTGGCCCGGGCGACTCACGACCCAGGTTTTGATCCCCGTATTCTGAGCGCACTACTTGTCACTACACCACTTCCGCCCTTCGAATAGCGGTACATATATTGAACTATTGCCCAGTGTTCCTCCATCGTTCTATCCTCAACGTCATTATTCAATCGTTTGTCTTGATCGCAGCAGAGACATAGTCCTTGAGTGACCTCACTTCCGCTATGGCTGCGCCTTTCCGCTTGTGTCTTCCTTCATTGTGTAGAGACTTTTGGACTTCCTGGCCTTAGCTCTTGTTTCTTCAAGGCATCGACTTTAGATGTTCTCGAGTGTCATCAGATCAGCAACCTCTTGGGATTGCCAGTAAGCGATCCTACGTCTAGTGCCCCAATTTAAACTAGCTCCTTTAGCTATGGTTGTCACTGCGCTGGCGGCCCTAGGAGATGAGAATAGGAAAGTGGGTCTTTGGAACCGAGCAAAAGATTCAGTACCGCCCGGAGGAAGTCCATCGAGTCGGGGCTGGTCAGGGCGCGTGATGTGGTGACGGTGAATTTTTCGCAGTTTTGCGAGGTGTACGAGGTCAAGCCGCAGCAGGGATTGGCCCCCGCTTTTGAACGCACAGAGATAGCCTGCCAGTCCTGACTTCCCGGCTATACCGCCCTCGATAGAGAGTTTTCAGCTTTTCTGAAACTTTTCCTTTGCCAACCTTCGAGAGTGTGTACTATTTCAAAATACTATTTACCGGAGCAAAGTTGTTACTAGCAAATAAAATTATCAGAAGTAAAAGCCGGCAAACTGAAACAGGAAGAGTGATAAAACAGAAACTCAAAGTAAACTGGGTTTTCCAGGTGACAATGGGAGCCACGCGCTGCTCAGAATGTCCACCTGAGAACGGATGTCTCGGCTCCCTCTCCAGATGTGTTGCTCACGATGCAGTTCTTTTCTTTGTTTAATGCACATGAAGAAGCATCTTCGAGAAAATAGGCACGAATTTCGGTAAGGTTCTTCTTTGAGAACGAAAATGTATGTATGCATAGGCTCGCTGTCGAATTTAGTTACGCTCTCCTTCCAAATATCTAATTTTTTTCACATTCTATTTCGACTTGCCTCGTCTTTTTCATTAAAATTAGGTCTTAATCATGTTAATCGCTTCTTACCCATCACAATTAACAAATTAACCATGGATACTCCCCTAATTTTCAGGAAACGTGCCTGGCGTTCTTAGCGCTTTTCTGGACATAAGCTCAGTGAACTTCGGAAGGAGGAGCCTTCAGATTTTTATATTTTTCGTCGCAAATAAAAAACACCACTAAAACAATGTTTTTTTTCATGTCGTGAATGTTTTCAAGGCATTCGTTTAGCTTTTTTTTTCATTAGATTCAAGGTGCGTTTTATGACCAAGATAGGAACAGTGTTATCTCTCTTCAGCTATGTCGATAGAAACTGGTTTTGTCTACTGTGCTTGGTGCTCTGACTTCGTCTATAATCGCGTTGCGAGAGGTTATGCGGCTCGGGGCAATGAACAAATACAGGTGATCGTTGTTATTTGTTTTATTGTCGTGTGCTAACCATGTGAACGACCTACATTATAGAACAAGGCTAGGCCTTTGCAAGCTAGTGTCATGGAATCCGACAGATGCTGATATCAAAGCATGGGATATGATGACTCGCGTAGGACATCATGCTCGTATGTCTCTCCATCATTTTAAGATGATCTTATCACGTTCAGAAACCGTATGAGTGCGTTTTCTGCTTTATCTATGAATTCCTTCTTAAGAGCTGCGTGGCCTTCTGAATATGGGTTCAACATGCTACATGAACAGCGTGCTCCAAGCTCTCGTTCACACCCCAGTGTTGAGAGACTATTTCCTTTCCGATCAACACTGCTGCCAGCGGCCGGCTGGAACATGTCTGATGTGCACGATGCATCAGCTAATGCAGGTATTTCTTCATTAAATAAATGGAACCGTTGCTCTTGGTGCGTTTCTGTCAACAAGTAATAGTTACTACGAAGGATTTTCATCGTGGTGACTCTTCCGATCCTGTTGCTCCTTCCGACGTTTTACATATTGTATGGGAACAATCTCAAATGTCCATGGGAGGTCAGCAAGATGCACATGAATTCTTTCTTGCTGTTCACGATCTCCTACATCGGCATTATAATGGTAAATAAGTTATATAGACTGATATTAATGTTCGTTTCCCCACTCTCGGCATTTGAAAATAGTTGTGTGTTGAAATTCTGTGTAAAATATAGGTCGTATACAAAAATTATGACTCCCTGATGCGAATGGGTGAAGTGTAGCTTGCGGAAAATTGTGATTGACCCGCTGCTGCGAATGTTAAGATCCCATCTCGAGAATGAGTCGGTTCTTATTCAAATTTGAAAGTTCGGCTGCGGTTTTTATGCAGCAGTGATGCCATTTTGTGAGCAGGTATTAAACTTCGTGGCTAGATATTTTCAATTTCAAGTGGTTAGCCAAGCCTAATCTTGCCATGCGGGGTTTTCGAACAGGTTTTCATTTAACTGTGGTCATTTAGGTGCACTTCTTGAAAACCTTTAGCCCATTGACGACCACGTAGCCCACCGGCGGGCCACGTTCCCGCGGCAGAGACCCGTTTAGCTTAATTCATGTCTTTTTTCGTGTTAAGAGCAACCTTTGTACATTATCGGGTTCGAAACACAATGTATTTCGTATCAGTAATGAATTGCTCGAAATTTTGACCACTGCTGATCAGTAAAGAATATTTTGAAATTAGGAATGTTTCAGCGCCTTTTTCTTCTTCGCCGGTGACCGAAACTGATTCATGCAAGTGCATTGTACACCAGACATTCACTGGCAAATTGCGCTCAGATATCATTTGCAATAAATGCTCGTGAGTTTTTTTTTCAATCAAGAGCTTCATCAGTTCGTGGTCACACGACACATGTTTTGATAATAGATCGGTTTCGTCATCCACTCAACCGTTTCTTGATGTATCACTGATTGTTCCGGCGACATCCCCAGCTGATCAGATAGGAATCAAAACATGTTTAGAAATGTGAGTGTAGAATTCAACAGCATCTTCTTTATCAATGTGCAAAAAATTCCAGGTTTTGTGCAAGGGAAGATTTAGACCGAAACTGCGAACGATGTGGATGCATGAGAGCAACTCGTCGAATGAGTTTCAAGTAGGTTACTCCGTTACCAGAGTTGCAGACCTTCACATAAGAGGTTGTGTAGTCTTTCAGTTTGACATTGAACGTGGGTTCTCATGGGTAAAGACTCAATTCGAAAAATTTCCTGCACTTTTCTCGTTTATTTACGATTCCACTCATTGTTAGAGCTGTAAAATAGGGAACCCATTTTTGCTAGCCGTGTTCACAATTAATGGGATGACATGCACTTCTGTGTTGTTGGAGTAGTATTTCTACCCCACCTCTGTTCCAGGGAGGACACCTACGCTTTACTTTTCGTAGAAATACAATTCTAAACCTATATTTACAACTTCAGAGTTCTGCCATCTGTGATCGTTTTCCATCTGAAGCGCTTCAGCCCATCTGCTACTGGGAAGAACAGCACGGTTGTATGGTATGAATATTTCAGATCTTGCGCCGAACTGCCGTAGTCTATCGATAAAAGCAATAAAATAAGCCATTCAATAAATGAAAGAAATCGGATGAAGGTCTTTGCCTGATTTTCTTTTACGAAAGACAAAGATGGCCCATCATTTGAGAGAGTGCAAGGAGATGTTTGGCAGCTCAAATAGTAGCGCCTCGTAAGTCTTGGCTGGTAAACAATTCTTTGTGGGCGACTAGCTTGAGGTGCTGCGCTCGTGTCTTAGTAACGCCTCTGGCCCAGTATTCATGACTACTTACACTATGACCGCCTATACGAGAGATGGTGCGCGGCTGGCATATGGCGTAAAGTCGGCTGGATTGAATCGACTGGTGCATAGAGCTTACAATAGCTGGTGATTCCCTGAAATGCTTCCTCTCAGGCCAGCGTCCTTCTCCTGCTGTTGGGGAGTTGTTTAATGATCTATCTCGTCGACGGCTTCTTCACGTCTTTCCTTCGCTGGCATTCCATTTTGCAACTGCTTTGCACTCTCAACCCAAAGATAGCCCAACTCGATCCTGACCCGTGCCTTTAATCAATCCAAGCTTTTTTGCATATCTTTCCTTGCTTCAAATAGTGTCTTTTTTCAAGAGATCTTCATCTTTTAGGTTCGACTTGGAATCCGATATGTCCCCATTTACGTCAGCTTTTCTTGACAATCCGTCGCTGTTCGATCCTCGCACTTCTGCTGGAATGATTAGTCATAAAAATCATTCGTAAGTTTGTCTAGAAGGATGTTTTCATTTCAGCTTTTCCACGTTTCTGCAAGATGCTCTCTCTAAGAGGCAGGTCTTTCAGGATGTGGAGCGCTTTTAAGAGATAGGTCTTTCAAGATGTGGAGCGCTTTTGAAATGGTTTCTCGCATGCTATAGGGGCTTCACCAAACTACAAATTGTGGTTCATTTTCGTTCGCGCAGCGTCCTGAAGGTTAAAAAGATGGAAAATGGGCTCGCGGGTGAGCGTAACATAAAACGTTGGGGTGTCCCCCAACAGGCCCACCGCGCGGCGAAGCAAGAGACGCAGATGCGGCAAAGAGACGAGTTGCAGCGCGTGCTGTGCGATATGAGACGTAGTATGGTACACTCTCTTTAACCTGACGCCTAACCGCTACAGTATGCGCTGCGACTCGTCTTTGCCGGGCGTCCTGCGTCTCGTTGATGCGCCCGCGAGTGGGCCTGTTGGGGGGACAGCCCAACGTTGTATAGAACTTCTAGCAAAGAGCTCCCGGTTCTGGCAGTAAATGTGGCGCACTATTAGCATACTACATAATATTGGCGGAGGCACTATGAGAAGATTTGTCGACTTCCAACGTAGAATCGCAAATGGACAATCGAACCTTGGACCACTTCTTCAACACTTTTTGGCCTTCACGGGTCGCTCAACGAAAATATACCTCGATTTGTAGTCTACGTATGAATTACTATTAAATGCACGAAATCGTTTTGGTCAAGCCCTCCATACCTTTAATGGTCATCCTTTTGATGAACCGTTGCGACTTGTACATTTACCGGAGGAAAGGCAATTGCGAAGAAATTCTTGCCATCAATAGAAAAATCCAGTAAATTATTGCTACATATTGAGCAGTCACATTAGTCTTCAACGCCGTGTGATACGGAGCGATGTGCACTATCGCGTTTTCAAAGCGCACAGTGGATACCACAGAAATTTTGAAATACACTGTAAAATTGTAATATTTATGGTGTATGTACGCTGCATCAGCGTTCGCTAGGCCTCGAGCCGTTCAAGCACTAAGATTGCGCTATAAAAAGTGAAGATAGGTGCCACAGAAAGGGCATAGTTTATGAACTAGAATTATAGATGGAACTACAGACTTCTACGCAGCATCTGTGACAAACTAGGAAAGCTGGCGGCGGTGCGTGGGGGACGGGGTGCATCGCAGGCGCACGAGGTAGCAGCCTCACAAGCTACCTTGGTGCGGTGCAGTGCGGCTTGACTGAGTAACTCTTCAGAAGTGCGCTTGTGATTGCATTTCAAAAAGCGGATCTTCAACAATATAGAAGATCACCGCGTTGTTCGAACAGAGTTGCTGACGGCATTTCACTTTCGACGAGTCAGGTAAATTCGGAATATGGTGTGCTGCACAGCCAGGCTCTGAGCCTACCTTCATTTCCAGCTCCAAGCTCATTCATGCTGAAGGAGTTCAACCGGGTTATAAAGGGCTGAATGCTAACTTTTTCCACAGCAGTATTTTCTTTATTCCCAATGTAGACCTTTCTTAACACGTTGACGACATCGCGCGTTTTGTGCTTTTGCACCTCGTGGGACAAGAGCGATTTTGCGAGCGCAGCCGCCGCACACCAAATCCATGGATTTTAAGTTGTAAATCCGCAATACTTAGATGCGATGAAATGTTTTCAATGATATTCGATCTGGCTTAGCTTACCAGGAGCACGGAGTAATGGAACTTTGATCGAAATGACGTATTAAGGCCATGAAAAGGAAAGTTTTACTTAATTTCCCTTTAGTGGTTCCAAAACTAATTTGGACGTGGTTGTTTCAGTGAAAACACATATCTTTCCATACGAATAGGTTTGTATTCACTTCTGTTACTTCCTTTTATCAACATGTCTACGTTATTGAAAAGAAAACGAGGAATGAATGAACAGACATATCCGTAAGGTCTGGAAAATGTCTGCCAAACTAAAGAATATTTGGCCTTTCTGTGAGCCATGTGGTTTTTAAGTATGCTAATGTATGACCTATAGAATGAGTACAAAGACCTTAGGAATAAGTCGCACAAGCGCAAGAAAAAGGGATGACTTGGGTGGGACGCGTTACCGCGTCACAATGTCCCACGAGGTGCGCAAAGTGGGACGCGCGCGTCACGCTGTCGTCAGCGTGTTAACTTTTACGACACCTTTCCCACAAAAATGAGCGCCTCTTCAGTCAGGTGCAGAAAAAGCTCCTTATAAATGATCGAGTTCTAAAAGTCTGCACTGGGTTAGTATAGACCTTCGCAATCCATGTATCTGTTTTATTTTTTCGGATAGCGAACTGGGTCCGATTTTTTGATGTATTCTATGGACCATAACATAAATGGTTCAATATATGATTTTTTGGGCCATTCGATGCAAAAGGTTTCCACAGCGAGAGTCAATGCTCTTTCCATTGCCATTATACATCCTTTCGATCACTTAACAATAACATACACATGGGTAATTTCTACGCATTGAACATTGCTGAAATGATTTTTTCATTCACGTTTTTGTGTGTTCTCTACTCACAGCCGTGCTCACGAAATAGCGCCATTGCTGCACGGCTAAAAATATGAGAACGTGCCGCTGCTCAGGGGTGAGATGGCCCGGCTGGTCTGCGCAGAAGTTGAACCAGAATTTTTTTCGGTCACGGAATGCGACACATTCGGAGTCCGTCAAGAGAAGAAGGCGGGAGCACCCGGGGCAAATCTTGAAGCTTACCAGGAAGGTCTTTCAGGGCGTGACAAGCTTTTTGAAAACGGTCTTTTGCATGATATAGGGGCAGATGCGGGAACCACAGAACCATGTTTAATTTTTCCTGAACGGCCCTCTGAATACCAGAAAAGGGGGTCCCTAGTTCGATTCCTCTTGGTGACAAATTTTTGCATTTCGAGTTGACGTGTTATGAACGTTTGCATTTTGAGTTGACGTCCGCAAAATTCGCGCAAAATGGAGTTAGAACCAACCAGAACAATCAGAACTCCATTTTGCGCGAATTTTGGAACGTCAACTCGAAATGCAAAAATTTGTCACCAAGAGGAATCGAACTAGGGACCCCCTTTTCTGGTATGGTATTCAGAGGGCCGTTCAGGAAAAAAATTAAACATGCGGTTCGGGTTGCGTCCAGCGCATCGTGCCCTATTGTTCATTAATCATGGCAAAAGAAGGACTGTTTCTCAAAAGCGTGTTCGTCACGCGCGCTGAAGACCGTCCTTGGTTAGAAAAAAAATATGGAAGAATAAATGAATGTTTGACTTGTTTTTTCTTAACAGCGTGCTTTTTTAACGCCGCAGTTCGCGTTGCGAATGTTTCACAAGAATGCTCGCCTGGGGCGAAAGTTTTGTTCACAACCCAGCATTCTTGTGAAAGAATAATGTTATTCTGCAGAGCGTAGAACTAAACATTTCGAGAGCTCAGTGCCGCCTTGCCGCCTTTCTAGTTGAAGTGTTTTGATTTGTTTCAGTTACTCATTATTCGCTATTGTGACGCACATTGGTGATTCGTCCGGCGCTGGACATTATATTAGCTACGTCCGACGAAATCAGAACAAATGGTATCGATGTGACGACCACCAGGTTTGTTACTACTGCTATCGTTTTCGAGAAATGTCGTTCACTTTTCATGTTCACTAGCTTATCCAACATCTTTTCAGATCAAGGAGGTACACTATAGCGATGTGGTGATGACTGAAGCGTATCTCTTATTTTATCAGCTCACACAGCTACGGCTGAAGTAGACGATTGTGACAGCGAAAAATACTTGCTTTATTGCTTTGGGTGGGAAATTCGACATCAGTGGCTTCTCACATTTTGAAGCTTAGAGCCCTTAAAAAGTGGTCTTTCTACAAAATGTTTTCCAGCGGGAAGAACCGGCAGTGTGGTGAACTATTGACTCACGCCGACGCGCCCAATAGTGAATGTATTGCGGTCGTTTTTGGTGTTTCTTATTCGATTTAAGCCTTGGTGTTTAATGATGGCAGCACTCGAATTGGAGCGACGGCGCCACCACGCTATAACGTCCTATGTTGTATGCAGTTAGAGGACGTGATACCACGCGTTTAACGTCGAGTAAGTGGAGCTACGTGAGAACCAGAGGTGGGATGACTTCTGTGCCCACAAAATTTGAGCAGTGCGGTCGTGGTCTACTGCTGGCGCCGAGATCCCTATAGGCGGAGTACTTGGCGAGGCAGGACATTAACACTTTTCAAAGGCCGAGTTCACGTAACCCATAGGTGGTCCGGAGCGAACGGTCGACTCCGAGCGCAGCTGTTCTGGCAACGGTTTCTCTTTTCGATGGGTGCTATTTTTGAATGCAGACATCCTGGGTGGGATCTTGCGTTATCAAGTGAAAGTCGAATCCTCTCCGGGCTAAAGTGTACATAATCGCCAAATTTGTGCAAGTTTTATTTATCTTTAGTAAAGCTTCATGTTGTTAAGAGTGGGATCGCTGTTTTTAAGCGGGAAATCTCATTGTTGATGTTTCATTAATGAAATTGCGTTCGTCACGTTAGCATAATTTGCGGTGATTGGTTCACGGCTGAATTCTATTTTGAATTCGACTTATCATATTTAATTTCGTTGAGTTCACGTCGTAGCACAGCAGTCGTACATAGGAATCGTTCTATTATTTTTTGTGTAAAAATCCTTTGGAAATGTCGGTGTGCACTTTACATTATTGTGTAGATGCTGATTTTTTTGATAATTGTACGTTTGATTGTATCTATATTATAATATTTACAATTTATCCAGGTATGCAATTTAATAACAAAAACCTTAAAACTTTCGCTATGATCCATTTCTGCGCTCTGTTTCCGATTCGTGAAATTTGTGCAAAAAAATGATATTTTCCTTAAGAAATAAATGGTATTTATTGTCGCGTCAAAAGCTCGCTCGCTGAAAACTTGGTGAAAGCCTGATCAGAGTTGAGCATCCTAGCAAGAATCTGCCTCAGAACACATAAACTATGGAAAATACAAAGAAATTCTTCTAGTTTGATTTAGTTTTCTCCTCTCAGTACTGGAGAACATCAGAAGGACTGAATTTCAAGAAGTAAAAAATGACCGTATTTGGAAAAAAGAAAGTGGAAGCAGATATGTTCCTAAACATCATGTTGCTCATAAAAAGACTAGGAGGAAGCCTTCAAAATTGTATGAAAATCTGATTACCAGTTCACCATAAGGGTAGATGAAAATTGTCGCGAAGATGAGCGAACGACCAGTACGTAAGTGGACCCTGTACCTACACAACCTTGGACGAGTTCGTTTTACTTTACTTTTTACTCGTTTTGTGACACGCTTCCTTCCATTTTGACACTTTTGACTCGAAGTCAAGTTGTCACAAAAGTATCGCTCAACCGCGAATTACCGGTCTTCCCTTTTTGGTTACCCTGGTGTTACGTGATTCACGAGCCGTACCGATCTGTAGGGAGCACATCTGGCCATAGTTCCATGCTTACACCTACTCTAATCTTACTTGTTTCCTATTCAATTTCAGTGCTCCATAGCAGGGTCAACCGTCACGTTGGACCAATTTCGAAAATTTTACGACCCCCCCCCCCCCCTTCTAGAGGGCCTCGATACGACCTCCCCCTCAGGGTTAACCCTTCACGACCATCCTCCACCACCCTCGCCTGCCATCGCCATCATGGGGGCGATTCTATAGTATTTTCTTACAAGTAATTTCATCTTGAGACAACGCGACACAAGCACCAACTCCGCCAACTTGTCAGCCCAAATGCCGTTGAGCGGAGCAAAATTTTCGCACTCAAAATCCCAGCCAACAAGCTAATCCGCTCTCCGTCCCATGAAAAATACCTTCCCTTACTGTTAACATTGACAGCTCGCGAAATACGACCCTCCCCCTCTTTATCCACTCTCTCTCGTCATTGGACCTTTGTCGACGACGGTGACCCTGCTCTTATAGAAATTATTATTCAGCTTCATGATACAGTTGGGGACGAATTCTTACAAACAGTTGAGTTAGCTGTTATCTAATTGGTGATCATGATCTTTACATAATATTTATGGTAATGGAGTGTTTGGGTCTATACCGATTGTAATTCAATGATAAAGGAATTAGGGCGGAAGTGGTGTAGTGACAAGTGGCGCGCTCACCACGCGAGCGGTCCGGGGATCAAATCCTGGGTCGTGAGTCGCCCGGGCCAACCAAGCCTTCCATCCCTCCGGGGTCGGTTAATTGGTACCAGACTTGTCTGGGGGATAAAAACACTGACTTGTACATCGGCTGGCCCCCGCAAGTCATTGTATAGGCCACATCGCATTCAAACGCCACTGCGAATGTACAAATGGAAGTAGAATGCGTGCCGCATCCCAAAAAGGGATTGATCAACGGCAAATGCTTTATCCTTTTATCTTTATCTTCACATGCATAGAAGAAAGCATGTATGGCGAAGCTGTGCTGCTTGAGGAAGGTTGAAGTCCTTTGACCTGAAGAGGAGGTGAATAAGTGTGGGGTCTTCACTCCTATAAAGCTGCTAAAAACGAATTTTCCCACCATTCCTGTAAAGAGTCTGGCGAAGCAGAAATATTTGGTGGTACTCGCGACTGTGCTCATTTTGTGGGGAGTGAGAGTGCGGTGATGTATTCCAACTGAACTGGTTAGCCATCTTGCACGAACCTCAGCGCACTGCATAGTAAGTAAGTCCCTGCTGACTATTTAAGCTCATTCTGCATAAAGAGCTCAAATGTTTCCCATCGTTACTGGAAGTACCGATTTCCACTTAGGATTTTGCGTCTTCGTCATTGCACTACAGTGTGGTTAAAATTTTCTCCAAGTGCGCTCCCGTGACTTTTCTTTCGGTCGCACAGTATTTGCCTCGTTGATGCAGTTGCCACGATCAAAGTGTCCCTCAAATGCCCCTACAAGTAGATGCCAGCCCTTCTTCAGTCCTTCTTTGCACCGTCTCCATGAATACAGTGTATCTGCCATCACGATCAGAGCCAAGGAGGCCTACGGTAATTGCATTCATAGCCTGGAAGCTGCTTACTTAATTCCTGAATCGGTTCACTGTTGGATAGTCTCATGGAGAAATTAGCTCTGACTATGCAAACTCCCCGACAACCAGCATCTCGGGAAACTTCATAGTGGTACAAGATCCATCGAGGACCCCATTAAGCTTGACCACGTATCAGGTTTCTGAAGCAGATTTTTTCTGATGTTCGTCACGTGGAAGGGCCCAACATGAAGATTTACCATTCAAAAGAGCATGTGCGATTGAAATTATTCCTTTTCTTTTCCTCTATCCCTTAGCTGTGAGGCAACTCGAGTCGGACTTTTAACAAAGTGTGATTGAGTTCATTTCAATGTGAAGACAAAACGTCTTTTTTGTTAGCACCCCTGTGCGTTGGTGGCTGGATATCCGCTCTGAAAAAGTAATAATATGAACAGCACAGTGGAAAGAGTGGCTACTCGTTTGTAATGTATTCGTGGGGTGATGCCGAAGACTGGACGCTTTCGCTTTATCATGAGCAGATATTCTATCGGACCGACACCTATGACCTATCGTCACGTCGTTCGGCAAATTGGAAGCAGCTATTGAAAAGGCTAATTCATTTAGTGATTTCCGCATACAGTACACATATGGCTTCTGTTCGAATGCTGTTGGTAAGTGGTGCCGCCGCCAATTACCAAACTTTTCTCTTCGCAGTTGATCGGTGGGTGTGTGCGAATAGTGTAAAGGAAACGATTTCGAGCTCAACAATCGAATTTTTCTCACAAAGAAGTAGTGGTATTTCTTGCTGGTATCGTATGGATTCTCCATTGTGTCGGTGCGCTTCACGTGATATTTTCTGGATTATCATAATTGCATCGGGCTCGAGAAGTTATTCTCCGTGCTCATGATATTCGCTAACATTTTAGCACTAGCGAAGCTAAGACAAAAATGGTTGGTCGCGTCCACGATACCCACAAGTTACACACCAGCAGCCAATCAGTGAGCATGCGTCAGCCAGGAGGCAGTTCTTCTGAAAGGAAGACTGATTTCTTGAAATGAGCGAACTGCAGTCTTCAAATGCATGCCATCATTTTCTTTTTTCTAACCATTTGGAAAGTGAAAAACAGTGTTGAGAAAGTGCGATGCTTAGTAGAAAACTAGTATAATAATGCATCCTGAGAGTCCTTTAAAGGCAAAAGTCGGGCTCAATAAGGGGGTATTATGGCGATTGAAACTGAGTATAGAGATGCGAAGTGGAACGACAGTGGAGAAAAAACTGAGAAAAACCGTCGACAAGGCCGTTAACAAAACCCTCTTTCCCACTAGCAGTGAAGGAGGCTGGCTTGGGGAAAGAGGCACGTACAAACAAGTTTTCTGGAGATGTCAGTCGTTCTATCGGTTGATACGGCAATCAACCTAGCTGATTTCACACGTTATGCCAGCCACGCACCACTTCCGGAGGTGGGCGGTCCTGGATTGACCAGGCGGCCCTGGATTGAAACCGAACGCCCCGGGGCCTTAACGGGGTTTTTCAAGGTGGGAAGTTGCTGCAATGTGTGCAGCTACCCACATACAACCTCCAGGCACGGGAATTACTTCTCTAGCGTGCCTGAGCCCGACCTTTGCCTTTAAGCATCCGTATTTCTTCAAGGAGCTATTCTGCTGTCGCGATGCTTCGAAATAATTATTATTTATGCAATAATTTAAAGAATGACTACATGTCAAGACACTCAGTAATCCCCGTAGATCTCGTGCTCATGTCCGAGATGGCCGCCAGCCGGCAAGACACACTCGTTGTGGCACATGATGTCCTGGAAGATTGTTCATCATGCAAGGTATAACTCAGAAATTTTTCCGCAGTTCTTACCCGTTTCTGTCGTGGGTACTCAGCAGAGGAATGTTCTTCTCCTTTCAGTTCAGCCAATTTTTTGGCACCAAGTCGAATTCTAAGGTTGTCGAGCGAACGGCGTTTACGTCCTCCACCGCCACCACCGCATCCGCAGCAACCACAACCTAGAGAGTGCTCACTAGTTTTCGAGCACTTTCTATGGCATGCATAGTTCACTTACCACATCCGCAACATGGCCGGCAGCACGTGGCAGCACTGGTGCAGCAACAAGATGCCCGGACAAGTGCGATACAAGTGCACAGCTCAGCTAAGAAATGATCTTAGTCTTACGTCTTACACTAGACTATCACCAAAGAGCGCATATGATCAAGCATACTCGCAGCATCCTTGCTCTGTCCGAATCATGATGTTTAGCGAAGGAACGCAGGCGACGAATAATCGAGGTCTGATAGTACTTGTTTTCTGTTTTGTTCGTGGTTGAACTGTGGTTTCAATAAAGTATAGATAGAGTTGCATATGAGGGTGGAAAAATGGTTTGGTCTCTAATCTGAGGAGATAAACAAAAAGCGTCCAGTCGATAGGATATTGAAGCTTCTTTCAACAAGCAACTGCAGAGGATGAGGGATGAAGCGCGGTGAGAATGCATTAGGTGTATGCGTCGGCGGGAGATGAGCGCAGGCGCCATGTGATGATTTAATGATGGCAGTACATAACGCAAGGCCTTTACCCCTGTTATGCTCGGGCATCCGTTCCGAGTTGGCGAGAAAGTTGCCCCTCTTGCGCGTGGAGACCACGTATCTAATACTTCTAGGAGGGACTAATCTTGGCACGCCTGGTCCAGACCTGCTGCTTCAAGTATCGTGGCTATTCCAAAACCTACCATTCGGTAGTCAAGCTTCTTCATGAAAATTCTGCACAAATTGGGAAAGCAAATGATCTTCTGAATCGACTGGACTTCGGAAAGGCAAAAGGAGAAAAGCCAACTTGATCTCATACGATAGGAATGAATGCATCCAGTTTAGGTCACTCTTGGAAGACTGGTGCAACACAGGCGAATAGAAATGTAATTTACGGTCTGTCAATGTTTACTAATGAAAAGAATCCCAGTGGTAGTTTACTACCGATCACACCCCGCGCCAAGTGCAATAGAAGGTCTGGTGGGATTTTAAAGGCCCAGTCGCTTGGAGTTAGCGTTGACATGGGCTATATTTCACCTCCGTATAAAGGTTATGGACCCGAAGTCAGTTGATATAATTTCTTTACAAAAAAAGGCGCGGTTCGGTCATTGGAAATTTACGCTGGAAAATTGATGACAAAACCCAACTAGAACCAGAATTTTGCATGGTTATTAGTTTTAAAAAAATATGTTTTGACTGTAACTAGTGCCTTTACTGCTCACCGTGGCTTACAACAGCAGCACCCGCAACCACCTCCACCACCGCACTCGCAGCAGACCGACAAAACACCTCCTCCACCACCGCATCCGCAGCATCCACATCCGCATCCACAGCCTCCACCGCCTTGCCTCTTCACTCGACTCGAACCTTCACCGGTGACATCGGTAGTGTTTGCTAACAGACTGCTGTCCAAGGTGCGCAGAGCGGTCTCCGGTTGGTGCACCCTGAACGTTATTATGATCAAAGATCAAACATCAGCCTACTACTTGAGGAATCTACAGTGCATATATCAAAAAGATCCTGAGAAATTCTAACCTGAACTTCATAGAAGAATGCTGCTATTCCAATAAGAACGGAAGTGAAGAGAATGCTGTGGAGCGTGGCCATTTCCTTAGAAATGGAGGATGGATAGGCTTTTGTTGAGGTGCTGCACCACTGCCGGCATCTGTTTTATATGCCCAAATGTCGGGAAGTGGCCGGTCACTCGGGACAGGCTGTCAGCGCATGACCGGTTGCCGGACGTTGCCTCGATCCTGCAGCTCTTCCTGCTCGGCTTAGCCCTCCGAATCGAGTAAGCGTACACGGTTTTGAACGCCTCATGTTTCTTGAGTAAAGGTAAGTTATCAGAAGAAAAGATTGGCGATACTGCCAGCTTGAAGTTATACAAGCAGTTGTCGGAGGCAAAATGTGCTGGCTAAATTTCCTCCCGTGACATTAGAAATCTCTTCAAATGTCTGCTTTATACGTAAAAGTGAGATTTGTTTATGTTTGATTGTTTCAATAGCGCCGGTTCCACGAACGACTGAAACATTCGAAATAATAAATAAATAAATAACTAGTCTCAACAAAGCCAAAGCAGCGTTAAGCCCCCAGAAAGGACAACAGTAGACAACGGTTTGCGTTGGGTTGGAAAATAAATAATATCGTCACGCTTGCATCTTTCACTTTTGCACGTCAACGTTCAAAGAAAAAAATGAAAACGTGAAACCATTCAGTGATGTTCTTCTCCTTCATTATTTATGAATTTGCATTTTGCTTATGAATTTGCATTTTGCAGAAAGTTACCGGGTTCGCAATTAAAAAAAAAGATATTGAGGTTTGTTTTTGAAGTCCTCATTATTACTAAGCTGCACGAGATAAATATGGTTTTAATCTGAGCGAAAAAGGTAGGATCAGTTAAAACAAAGTTCGATAACAACAATGGATTCCAAAGAAGTTCCGCTATGGCGTTTTATTTTCTTCATGTGAACCGATAGCAATGCTGACGTGTGCCATTTAGATTTTCTCACTTCTAAGTATACATCTAACAAGGGAGGTCGTTCAGGGTGTGCCAAGCTTTTTCAAAATGGTTTCTTGCATGACATTGGGGCACATGTGGGGACCACAGAAGCATGGTTCATTTTTCCTGAACGGCCCTCTGAATACCAGAAAAGGGGTCCCTAGTTCGATTCCTCGTGGTGACAAATTTTTGCATTTCGAGTTGACGTTTCAAAATTCGCGCAAAATGGAGTTAGCATGAATAATTAGTACCATATTCATGATTAGGACCGTCAGTAACCCTTACAAATAGACTTTGATTGAAAAACTGGTGAAAAGGTGTGACTAGGGACCCCCTTTTCTGGTATTCAGAGGGCCGTTCAGGAAAAATTAACCATGGTTCTGTGGTTCCCGCATGTGCCCCTATATCATGCAAAAGACCGTTTTGAAAAAGCTTGGCACACCCTGAAAGACCTTCCTTGTAAGTGCAACTTAATTCTGAGAAGAACGACAAATATGGTTTTGCAGAGGAGAAAACGTACTGTAAATGGTATCCGGATTTTGCAGGTGATACTTACATGACTTACCTGAATATATACGCTTTCCCCCAATACTACTAGGAGGATCACAAAACTCAAAAGAAACTCTGAAAGCTTCGCGACACCTCCAAGCAGGGTGAATCGCCGCATCTGCCTTCTGCCATTTCCCACTACAAAGCTTTCCTCATTTCAGTTTATGGTATCGAGTGCCGTTGAACTTACAGTTACTTCGATACCTCCAATGCCTCCTCAAAATCCCGAAAGTGCATAATGGGTGCGTTCATAAAAGAACCAGCTGCAAGTTTTTTTTGCCAGAATTATCTATATTCATTTCAAAAATGAAAAACAATTTGTTTTTCTCAGAGAATTTTCCACATGTACTATTCCAGGAACAGGGCTCTCTTTCTTTATATGCGCCCTCCTGAAAATCACACAAGGACCCCCTCTCTGACCCGGTGACACACCGCTGGTCCTCTTCCCAAGCAGTCGTGAAGCGCGTTAGACCACATATCAACACAGTAG